GGAGGGGGGAAGGAAGAAAGAAAGAAGATAAAATAAAGTTATTAAAATAAAAACTGATTATTAAGAAAAAAAATTTTTTAAGTTAAAAAAAAAACAGACAGAACTCTAGGACAAATGGTAAAAGCAAAGCTATACAAAATCACACACAGAAGTTTACACGTACACACTCACACAAAGAGAAAAAGGGAAAAAAAAATATATATATATCTTTGCTCCCAAAGTGCACCGCCTCAATTTGGGATGATTCGTTGTCTATTCAGGTATTCCACAGATGCAGGGTACATCAAGTTGATTGTGGAGATTTAATCCACTGCTCCTGAGGCTGCTGGGAGAAATTTCCCTTTCTCTTCTTTGTTCACACAGCTCCTGGGGTTCCGCATTGGATTTGTTGCTGCGCCTCTGCGTGTAGGTCACCCGAGGGCGTCTCTTCTTTGCTCAGACAGGACGGGGTGGAAGGAGCAGCTGATTCAGGGGCTCTGGCTCATTCAGGCCAGGGGCAGGGAGGGTATAGAGTGTGGGGCGAGCCTGCGGCGGCAGAGGCCAGCATGACATGCAACAGCCTGAGGCGCGCCGTGCGTTCTCCCGGGAAGTTGTCTCTGGATCATGGGACCCTGGCAGTGGCAGGCTGCACAGGCTCCTGGGAGGGGAGGTGTGGATAGTGACCTGTGGTTACACACAGGCTTCTTGGCAGCTGCAGCAGCAGCCTTAGCATCCCACGCCCGTCTCTGGGGTCCGCACTGATAGCCACGGCTCATGCCCGTCTCTGGAGCTCCTTTAAGCAGTGCTATTAATCTCTCCTCACACACCGGGAAACAAAGAGGCAAGGAAAAGTCTCTTGCCTCTTCAGCAGCTCCAGACTTTTTCCTGGACTCCCTCCTGGCTGGCTGTGGTGCACTAGCCCCTTCAGGCTGTGTTCACGCCGCCAGTCCTCTCCCTGGGATCTGACCAAAGCCCGAGCCTCAGCTCCCAGCCCCCGCCCACCCACCCTGGCGGGTGAGCAGAGAAGCCCCTTGGGCTGTTGAGTGCTGGTCAGCACTTATCCTCTGTGCAGGAGTCTCTTCACTTTGCCCTCCGCACCCTGGTTGCTGTGCTCTCCTACGTGGCTCCGAAGCTTCCCCCTCTCTGCCACCCGCAGTCTCTGCCCACGAAGGGGCTTCCTCGTGTGTGGAAACCTTTCCTCCTTCACAGCTCCCTCCCACTGGTGCAGGTCCCATCCCTATTCTTTTGTCTCTGTTTTTTCTTTTTTCTTTTGCCCTCCCCAGGTACGTGGGGGGTTTCTTGCCTTTTGGGAGGTCTGAGGTCTTCTGCCAGTGTTCAGTAGGTGTTCTGTAGGAGCTGTTCCACATGTAGATGTATTTCTGATGTATTTGTGGAGAGGAAGGTGATCTCTGCGTCTTACTCTTCCGCCATCTTGAAGCTCCTCCTCTGTAATTTTAATTACTCTTGTCTTGCTATACTTTTTGATGTGTTTTTGGTAGTGTAGGACCCTCCTAATTACTGTTTTCAAATATTTATTATGTAGGTGAACTTTAAAATCATTTTTAAACTTTCATATCCTCCCAACTCTAATTAATGAAAAAGCATTAACTTTATGGATAAACTTATAATACTGAATTTTCCCTTCAAAAATATAATTCTCATCTCTCCATTTATTCAAGCCTTTTTTTATGTTCTCAAGTAAGGTTACATTGTTTTCTCCACTGGGTCTTGCAAATTCTTAAATTTATTTCTAGGCATTTGATATTTAGTTGTCTTTATTTTTGGAGTTAGGATGAGATCCCTGTTTTAATTCTGTTTTCTGACTGACCATTAATTATAAGCAAATTTCTGCATGTATATCTTTTATCTGCCCATTCTAATGAACTTTCTTATAGTTTTAAATAGGTTTCTAGTTGACATTGTAGTGAACAGCATTAGTTGCCTGCTTGGAATCTGTTAAGCCCCCTTTCTAATAGGAACAGATTTTTATTTGGATATCCACCTTTTTTTCTAGGCAACTATAGGCTTTGGGTGGAACACTGAGTAAGGGTAAATACAGGTTTAAGGTTTAAGGGTAAAAACAGATTAGTCTAACCTATGAGAACCATTTTTCCACCCTTGAAACAATGCCTGGTTCAGAAATAACAATGTGGTTTAATTTGGGCCAACGAAATTTGACAAGAAACTTTCTGAGGCTTTAGAAAGGAATTCCTCAACTCTCTGAAAGCTGTAAGAACCCAATTCTCTGTCATCCCGTGGACATGAACAAGGAAGCTTATAGCCCCAACTACTGTAGACACCCATCCTATAACTTTAAGGGAAACTAGCCTTTCAATTAAGCTGACACAGGGACCAGGACATGAAGGCAGAATGCAGCTGAGTCCTTGATGATATCACTGAATTACTGGATCAATCAACCCTGAGGCCCATGCCATTTCTGGGCTTTCAATTATGTAAACCAATAATGTTTAATATTTTCAAAACCAGTTTGAACAGGATTTCTGTTAATTTCAATGTTGAAGAGCCCTAACTTGTTTGGTATCTTAAATTTTTAAGATAGAATATAATATGAACTATAAATAATCATCATTTACTCTCTTTTTTTCTTTTTAATCCTTATATTTATTTCTTTTTCTTCCCTTATTATATGGGCAGAAATCATTACAGAAATACTGAATCATAATAATAAAAACAGGCATCCTTGTATTGTTCCTTAATTTACTGACAGTGTCTTTAGTGGGCCATTCATTAAGTTTCATGTTTCCTGTTTCTCATGATAAGACTTTAAAAAAAAATTTAAGCAATGTGATTTTAAAAACAAGAATGAGTTTGGATTTTATCAACTGTCTTTTGAATATTTAATGAGGATATTGCATTTCAAACAATTCTTTTGTTTCTTGTTATGTTATTACTTAATTATACTATATTTTAAATGTTCTACTGTTGAGCTAGCCTTGTATTCCTGAAAGGACCCCTATTTAGTAATGATACACATATTCATATACTGCTAGATTTAATTTTCCAGTATTTAGTTTTTGATTTCTTTTTGGCTTGGAAATTATAAGTAGGTGATTTGTGTTTTATTTGTCAGACTTTGATATCAAACTAATACTATACATGAACAAAAGAACTGGAAAGATTTCCATATTTCTCTAGCCTATGGAACAATTTAAATAACCCAAGAATGATCTGTTCCTTAAAAATAATGTGTTCTATTTATATACAGATATGAGCCAACCTCCTCTTTGGTTAGCAGATCTTGGAGAAAGTTTTAATATCTACTATAGTTATTGTTGCTTATATGTCTTAAGTGATTTTTGATCAGTTATGCTTTTCTAGAAGTTCTTTTATTTGATGTAGATTTTTAAAATTAGTAATACTGATGTAACATACAATTTCAAAGCATCCGTTTTCATTTCAAAAATTATTTACTTATATTTTCCTCTCTTTTTTCCTTGGTCTCAGTTGCTAGAGATGTATCTGTTTTCATAGTTATTTTTGAAGAACGATGCCTTGATTTTTGTCAGTTAGTTTTGTTTTATTTAAAATCAAGTAGTTTCTTATTTTTCTTAATATATTTCCCCTAATATATTTCCCCTGATTTAGTTTAATTTCTTTCATTGTTCTTATTTATTTCTTTAAGTTTACTGATTTTAATTTATATTCTTCCTTGTAGAAGTAATTCAGGTTTTGAGTTTTCCTCTGAGAACTGCTTTGGTTGTATAAATATATTTTGGTATATTGTGTTTAATTGTTGTTAATTCTTAGAAAAATCTGTCATTTCTGTTTGATTTCCCTTAGACCAAATAGTTATTTGTCAGTGTGATTTTTTAATATAGTATCCAAGGAAGTTTTATTAGTAGTATCTAACTTTATTGTAGAATATTCAGAGAATGTGTGCTAAGATTTCAAATTTGTGGGATATATTGTAAATGTCTTTGTGGCCTAATATACAATCAAAGTTTTTAACAGTCTGCAAGCTTTTGAAGAATATCTTTGCATTGCACAAAGTTATATATTTATATAATCAAGATGAATGCTTATTTAAATTTGTTACTTTATTATACTTATTATATTAGTTTTCTATTATTGCATAACAAATTACCACAAACCTAGCATCTTAATACAACACAAATTTATTATCTTACAGATTCTATGGGCCAAGATGGCATTGACGGTTCCTCTGCTCAAACCTCACAAGGCTAAAATCAAGCTGTTGGCCAGCCATCAGCCAGTGTCCTTACCTGGAGGCTCGACTAGAGAAAGCCATTCTAAGTACCTCAGGTTTTTGGTAGAATTCTTTTCCTTTTGGTAGAAAGAATGTTTCCATTGTGTTGCTGGTTGTTGGTTGGGAGCTGCTTTCAGACCCTAGGGTTGCTTTCAGGTCCTTGCCATATAACCCCCTCCATAAGCCCTCTCTGACTTCCAAATTTCTTAGTTTGGGAACAGCCCTGTCCATTTTAAGGGTTCCTCTAATTAGATCTAGCTCACCCAGGATAACCTCCCTTTTGTTTAACTCAAAGTCAACTGATTAGGGATATAAATTATAGTTGCAAAATCCCTTCAGCCATTAACATAACACAATCATAGGAGTGATATCCCATTGTATTCAAGCCTGGCCCATGCTAAAGGAGAGTGGACTATAGAGAGTGTATATACCTGTGGTGGGAAACTTGGGGACCAACTAAGAATTCTGTCTGCCACACTTAACCTATCAAATCCTGAGGAAGCTATGTTCAAGTCTTCCGCCATGATAATGGTTTTAAATTCCTGTGTTATTGGAAGGTTTTACTTAATATATGTCTATATTATGCTTTGTTGTTTGTTGGGTGGCTTTGCACTGTGTCAGCTTGGCTGGGCTCAATGCATCTCCCCAAATTCCCTTTTCTGTATATTTCTGGTTGGGGTGGAGCCACCAGAGAGATTCTCACACAAGTTGTAGAGGACAGAATTAAAAGGGTAGGCATTTTGTAGCTTACATGTGTTGCTGCTTGTCTGCTGGTTCACCTTGTGGGTGGGAGGCAGCAGCCAGATTGCACCCACTTCACCTCCCCTGGCTCCTCCTTCAGCTTCTCTGATTCCTGCACTAGGGGTGTGTGTATGTGTGTGTGATTCCACGATGAAGTGTCTCAGCTTCTGTGGGACATCCAAACCACCATGGTCAGGGACAGTAAGGGCTAAGAGTTTTCAGCAGTTGTCAGTCTGTCCTTGTGGACTCCTGATTGTGCTGGTAGTTGCCGGCTTGTTCTTGTTCTCCCTCACTTTTCATGCATCTTCCCTTTCTGACTGCCTGCCCTATGGACCTCAAATATGCTCCCCTGTGCTAGAAACTGAACAAATGCAAATTAAAACCCCAATAACAATTCATGCCAATCAGATTGGCAAAAACAAAAAGTGCTATAGTATCCAGGGTAAGGCAGGGTTTAGATCCACTGCAACACCAGTACATTGCTGGTAGCAGTATAAATTGATATAAAACATTATGAGACAACACCTAGTTTGGCATTATCTAATAAATTTGAAGGTGTGGGTACCCAATGACCCAGCAATTCCACACCAAGAAATACACCCTGGGAAAATGATTGCATAAATGTACCTAGAGAAATGTACCAGATGGTTCCTAGCAGCACTATTTCTAATAGTAAAATAATTAGAAACAACCAGATGCTAAACAATAGTTAAATAGATAAATAAACTGAGTAAATTTTTATAATGGGATACCATAAAGCAGTTGAAATTAATGAATTACAGTTACAAAAAACAACATAGGTGAATCTCAGAAATAGAATGTTGACCCAAAAAAAGCATGTTGCAGAAGAATTCATAAAGAACAGCTCTTTTTACATTAAGGAAAAAACATAGAAAATTGTCCAACAATTTTTAGGAACAAAGTCTATGAAGAAATGCAAAATGATGCTAAAAATAAAGCTCAGGATTATGAGGGGTTATGTCTCAGGAGAGGCGGAGAAGAAAGGGGATTTGAGGGACCAGGCGGGGACAGTAAAGTAATAGTCCTATTGATCATCATAAGCTGAGAGATGGGCTCAGAGGTGTTCATTGTATCATGAATTTTTATACCTTGCATTTGTTTTATTTATAAAGAGAAAAAGTAAAACATTGAAAAAATAACAGAAGAAATGAGCTCTCTGCTTCCTCTGCTCACTGATTCACCCTGTATGTCTTTGAGAGAGAAGTCTTTTTTTTTTTTTTGGCTGCACTGCATGGCTTTCAGCATCTCAGTTTCTCCACCAGAGATTGAACCCAGGCCACAGCAGTGACAGCACTGAATCCTAAGCGCTAGGCCATCAGGGAACTCCAAGAGAAATCTTTTAAAAACATGATTTAGTTACAATTTTCCCTTTCCTATAGCTCAGTGATTCCCCATTCTTTAAAGAGTGAAGTCCAAACTCCCTAGACAGATATTCAAGGTCTTTCACAAATCTGGCTCCTCCAGACCTGCCCAAATATGTATGTCAATATTCCCCCAATGGGGCTTCCCTGGTGGCGCAGTGGTTGAGAGTCCGCCTGCCGATGCAGGGGACACGGGTTTGTGCCCTCGTCTGGGAGGATCCCACGTGCCGCAGAGCAGCTGGGCCTGTGAGCCATGGCCGCTGAGCCTGCGCGTCCGGAGCCTGTGCTCCGCAAGGGGAGAGGCCACAACAGTGAGAGGCCCGCGTACCGCAAAAAAAAAAAAAAAAAAAAAAAAATATTCCCCCAAATTAAACACTCCATTTCTTCTGGAAGGGCCCATAAGGGTCCCACAAAGTGCCTTGCTCATTTCTGCCCACAGGTTCTTCCTTGTGCTCTATCCATTCACCTCAAATGCCCTTCCTCTGCCTCTCTTCCCATTCAAACCCTACTCATCTTATCTCCCTAAGGCCATGACTACTTGCTAACTCATTTATGAACCCTTTCCTCTCAGTTCCACTGAACAGTGAAATCTCTCACAGTCAAATGCCTATCCCATTCATGGCATGAATTACTTATCCCTTAATTATATACAGCTTCTTACCTCTTCTTGTCTGTGTGTGTATGTATGTACACGTTTTTTTAATCCGCAAATAGATGACAAACTCTTCAAAAATAAGAATTATGCTTTATATTTCTTGGTATGGCCTAAAGGGCTTAACATAGTAAACATTTGTCATAAATAAAGAAGCTTTCGCAGAGACCTTCAAGATGGCAGAGGAGTAAGACGTGGAGATCACCTTTCTCCCCACAACTACATCAGAAATGTGGAACAACTATGGAACAACTACAGAACACCTACTGAATGCTGGCAGAAGACCTCAGACTTCCCAAAAGGCAAGAAACTCCCTCCCTAACCCACCTGGGTAGGGCAAAAGAAAGAAGAAAAAACAGAAACAAGAGAATACGGATGAGACTTGCACCTAGGGGAGGGAGCTGTGAAGGAGGAAAAGTTTCCACACACTAGGAAGGCCCTTCACTGGCAGAGACGGGGGGTTGGCCGCTGGGGGTGGGGGAAGCTTCAGAGCCACAGAGGAGAGCACAGCAACAGTGGTGCAGAAGGCAAATCAGAGAGATTCCCGCACAGGGGATCCGTGCCGACCAGCACTCACCAGCCCGAGGCTTTTCTGCTCACCCGCCGGGGCGGGTGGGGGCTGGGAGGTGAGGCTCGAGCTTTGGTTGGATCCCAGGGAGAGGACTGAGGTTGGCTGCATGAACACAGCCTGAAGGTGGCTAGCTCACCACAGCTAGCCGGGAGGGAGTCCAGAAAAAACTCTGGACCTGCCAAAGAGGCAAGAGACCATTGTTTCAGTGTGTGCGAGGAGAGGGGATTCAGAGCACCGCCTAAATGAGCTACAGAGACGAGTGCGAGCTGTGGCTATGAGCGCGGACCCCAGAGATGGGCTTGAAACGCTAAGGCTGCTGCTGCAGCCAGCAAGAAGCCTGTGTGCAAGCACAGGTCACTGTCCACACCTCCCCACCCAGGAGCCCGTGCAGCCCACCACTGCCAGGGTCCCGTGATGCAGGGACAACTTCTCCGGGAGAACATGGTGCACCTAATGCTGTTGCAATGTCTCACTGGCCTCTGCAGCCACAGGCTCACCCCGCATTCCATACCCATCCCTTTCCCCAGCCTGAGTGAGCCAGAGCCCCCAGTCACCTGCTACTTTAACCCCGTGCTGTCTGAGCAGGAACAGATGCCCTCAGGTGACCTATACACAGAGGCGGGGCCAAATCCAAAGCTGAAACCCAGGAGCTGTGTGAACAAAGAAGAGAAAGGGAAATTTCTCCCAGCAGGCTCAGGAGCAGCAGATTAAATCCCCACAATCAACTTGATGTACCCTGCATCTCCGGAATATGTGAATAGACGACAAATCATCCCAAAATTGAGGCGGTGGACTTTGGGAGCAACTGTAGAGTTGGGGTTTGCTTTCTGCATCTAATTTGTTTCATTTGTTAATTCCCCGGTCCAGGAGGATCCCACATGCCGAGGAGCGGCTGGGCCCGTCAGCCATGGCCGCTAAGCCTGCATGTCCGGAGCCTGTGCTCCGCAATGGGAGAGGCCACAACAGTGAGAGGCCCACATAACGCAAAAAAAAAAAAAAAAAATTCTCTAAAAGGAATCAATAGCAGAAGATTCTGCTGAGGCAGAAGAACGGATAAGTGACGTGGAAGATAAATAGTGGAAATAACTATCACAGAGCAGAATAAAGAAAAAAGAATGAAAAGAATTGAGGACAGTCTCAGGGACCTCTGGGACAACAATTAAATGCACCAACATTCGAATTATAGGGGTCGCAGAAGAAGAAGAGAAAAAGAAAGGGACTGAGAAAATATTTGAAGAGATTATAGTTGAAAACTTCCCTAATATGGGAAAGGAAATAGTTAATCAAGTCCAGGAAGCACAGAGAGTCCCATACAGGATAAATCCAAGGAGAAACACGCCAAGACACATATTAATCAAACAATCAAAAATTAAATACAAAGAAAAAATATTAAAAGCAGCAAGGGAAAAACAACAAATAACATACAAGGGAATCCCCATAAAGTTCACAGCTGATCTTTCAGCAGAAACTCTGCAAGCCAGAAGGGAGTGGCAGGACATATTTAAAGTGATGAAAGGGAAAAACCTCCAACCAAGATTACCCAGCAAGCATCTCATTCAGATTCGATGGAGAAATTTTGCATTACAGACAAGCAAAAGCTAAGGTGATTCAGCACCACTAAACCAGCTTTACAACAAATGCTAAAGGAACTTCTCTAGGCAGGAAGCACAAGAGAAGGAAAAGAACTACAATAACAAACCC